ACACGAACTCGTGCGGTTTCGTTGCTGTTTCAGTCACCAGTGTGCGCCACTGTTTCGCATCTCTCAGAAACCCGGCACCAGGGAACCATCCGGGTAAGTGCCGCACTACAAGAATGTTTCATCTTCAGCTCCCGCCAGCACCCCCTGAAACTTGAAACACCTACAAACTGGCACGTGGTCAACCAGGAAAGCACCAGGAGTTGCCACCAGCGAGAAATTTGCCATTGACTTTTCGGCCAATTCAACGAAGGGATCATCGCCGTCCTTGACACTGTACCCATGAGAGATCTTCAGGATGATCGCGCCGGCCGTTCTAAGAATAATGATGGGATCAGCGCTAGTTTGGGGACCACCGGAACGAACCCAATGAAGAGAGAAGTTGCCCACCTTCGGATATGTGCAAGTAAGTTGTCAGGGTCTTGCAACACATTGCATAAGAACTGCCTTGTTTCGTCCTCTTCAACTGGGTAGAAGGTCGCTAGGCTGTTCCTACTACCGAGCTGACGATGGAAGAATTTGCGGTACTGACGAAAACGTTCGCCGTACTGCTGGAAGATCAGCGAGTCCTTCCACCCCACGAGATCACATGCCATCGTCAAATGAGGCCTATCAGATGAAATCGCGCTCTTCTTCTCAAGGAAGTCGGTGACGGTCTGGGCCGAATTTAGGACGATCACCTGAGAGCCCAGAACGTTCATTGAGACAATATCCCCTAATTGCAGGTCAAGACACGTAAAATGACGTTGCGAAAGCACGTTGTACACTTACCATATTTCTTGCTCAGGTCTGCGAAGGTCAACCACGCACCATGGGTCGGGAATTCAAGAAGATTTCCTATGAGTGGCCATCCAGCGGGTCCAGGAGGGAGCGGCCGGGAAGTCTTCTTTCTAAAGACTCGGGAGGCAAGATACAGTCCAGCTCCCGCGAGACAGACATCGAAGAACACTTTTGGATCCATATTCTCCATCAACAAAAAATGCGCACAGTGGAGACCAACTGGTCAAAGGAAGGGACACCTAGGTGAGACCTAAATGAGAATTCGACCTTGGAGTCGGTTATATAGGTTTTCCGCGCTGTCCCAACCTGGACATATCTCCATAAACACGAATACTAGTACTGTGGGCGGTGGCTTGGATTGAGCTCGTGATACCACCGGGTGAGATGAACCGCCGGGTTCATGTTGGGCAGGAGGTCCCGTTTATATGTATGCCGTAAGGACAAACATTTTGAGGCCACGCTCCGATCAATCGATCAGCCTGCCCGACTCGTCAACACATCCACCCGTTGCAGCACCCAGAGCCCCGAACAGCTCATCGGACGACTCAAGGAGCCAATTCTTATACAATAAGTGGCCGCTTGTCAATCAGTGATCGAACAGGCTTGGGGATATGCTGGTATAGACTGTCGACGCTGTATAGGTTCAGAGTGAATAATAGTAGGAAAGCAAGATGCTATCGTATATGACACACGAAACACCCAATTCAGCCCAAAGTTGGCAGGGGTCCGGGGATGGATGAAACAAATTGATGGCGATGCATCGACACTGCGGGCGTGATGAAAGTGTTGATACCGGAGGTTCTAGTTGCGCTGTAGTGGCCACCCGTAAGCACCGCCACCGGGAAAACTACAGAATCTCCTGTCGAACTTTTGAAACGTCGAGTGTTGCGAGGGACAAGTAACGTTGACCATATCTCTTGCTCACGTTTGCTCAGCTTCGAAGGCCAACCACGCCGTCTGGGGTGAACGGTTAAAGAGGTTGCAGTTGACTGGCTATCCAATGGGTCCGGTTATGTCTTCCTACAGATCAGCTGAGAAGTTGAGAGACAAGTACAACCCAGCTCCGGTAAGTACTACTACTAAGACATACGTCGATGAATGCTTTCGAATCCGAGTCCATATTTGGGTTGACCTACAATGTAACACCAACAAAACACACAGGAGATAGTCTGGTCCAAAATCCGTTGGCCCTAGACACGTTGTATACGTGCATTTCTGCAGCCTCTGTGTCCTAAGTATCAGACACTCTAAGGTTTGGGGCATGTTTCTGTCGAAGCGCAAACGAGCCGTCAGACTTATCAAGAGGTTGGTCCTTAGACGACTACATGTTGAGAGTGCTGGCTTAGACTGTTTACATCTATCAACCCTCCGCCGGCCGATTAGAATGAATTTTCGACAGCAAAGGTGAAGACATACCCCCTAGCATCACAGTAACTGCGCACTTCACCTCATTCACCACACACGCGAAGCGAGAGACAACAGCACCATCATAATGCTATGGTGAAGCAGAACAGTTACAACACAAGGTGTCTAAATGAGTGTGAGAGTCCATGCAAAATAATCTGTACGGACGCGAGCCGAGCCTGAGCCAACCAAGATACGAAAATCGGATTCAGAACGAGGACATGTATGAACAATAACCTGTTTCAGGGGTCAGTACCAGTAACGGACTGAGATATGTATAAAGCCGGAGATTAGGACCGAGGGAAAGGCGATAACAAACTTTGTGGTGAAGAAGTGTGGAGATTGTGCGCCAGTGGATAAATCTCTACTTGCGTGCTTCGGTCTCCTGCGCTTCTAATTCGGCAGTCCTGACTTTCTCGTCGGTGTACTCCGGGGGAGCAACATACAGGTTCTCAGCGTCTTGCTCGAAGATGATGTACTCGTGGTCAAGGGTCTCCTCCTCTCGCTCGCCGCGCACGGTGCGATAAGCAAGAACAGTCAGAACCCAGAACATGCGCAGGAGAACTCCAATCCCACATCCTGGATATATGCGTCAATCGTAGATCTGCACCTCTGATTCCTTAACTTACCCAAAACGAACGCCACAGCACGACCCTCCCAAGGTCCAAGGGCCATGATGGCCCTGTGGATACGTCTCAAGAAGGATCCCTTCTTGTGATGTTTCGAGTGATGGTGAGGGTGGTGAGAGTGTTCACCGTGTTGGTTGGGGTAAATGGGAACGAAACTTGCATCAGGAAGGATCTCTTTCACACTCTCCATATTCTCGACTTGTGATTCGTGCGGCGCAGGGCCAGACGCCTCGGGCGTGCCCAAGAAGGGCATAGGGAGGATATGAACACCGTGGCGAGGGTGGTCGTTCTCACCAGGTATGCCAATGAGAGAACCAGTGTGATGAGCCTCGATGAGAGGCAAGCCCAGGGCGTGCCTGAAAGCGTTGGACATGCGGAGAGCTTTCTCGCGCAGCGAGGCTCCACAGAAGTGGCGGCCGATCCCGTTGCTCTTGACCTCGGTCGACGTGGTCATAATGAGGGTCGGGCGCACGATGCGAGCGACGTTGTCGTCATTTCCGTTTACGTTGGCATTTGCCAACGCATGGCCGAAGCGAATGTTCGCATTCGTGTTAGATGTACTTTCCACGACTACGCGAATGGGCTCGGCGGACACTTGACTGACTGCTCGTGCGTAGAATATTTAGATCAGCCACGTATTATTTAAGTAAAGGAGGCAGAACTTACCAACACCAGCCCCTGCGAGGAGTATGGGCAAGATTGAAAGACGCATGTGTGGATATATCGTCCTCCTGTGATATAAGGTGGGTAGTTGTGTTTGGATCGATCTGGTTCTGGTTCTTTTGGTTTCTGTAGGCTGTTATATAGGCAAAGATTTGGAGTATTCGATGGTGTAGTGAAGAGGTGCTTTGAGTGGTCATCACTTTCCGCTGTGCTGCCGTTCCTTATGTTTCGGACTCCGACGCGGCCCAGCAGAGGCTGCAGAGCCACCTCAAACAGCTATTTGCAGCACGACCAGCGCCGTTTCGTGGACGCTTGCCGCCATCCTCAAGGCTCATAGACACAGCTTCGGTTTAATATTTTCTGGCGCATACTTAAGCACTGCTCCGTCGCCGAAGATGACTTCGGGATGACTTGGGATGAGTCGTAAGGGTAGGATTGCTAGTCAAACTCCTTTAGATCAGTCATCAAGACTTGCGAAACCAAGTACAGGTTTCCTCGAGAATCTTCTCTGGCGCTGCGCATTTGTGCTATAAATGTCTCAGGAACATCCCCGCGTTAACAGTATTTGTGCTGCGGGCGTTCATTTCAGATCCGGAGGGCCTGCCATTATCGAGCCAATCCTCCAGGTCCTACTTTACCTCCAGTCTGTGGAAGCTCCTTTCGTCGTGGATTACTCCCTCGAGACGTCCAGCAGCAGCAATTGACCGTCGGATATTCGAGCGCATCCTCGGCCCTCATCTAATATACACCTCGACATTACAATGTTGTTCGCAGGACGTCGCCGTAGCGCAAAAGAATCAGCCTGCGGATGATTGTCTGGAGGACATGTGTCAGTCTGGAGCTGAAAATAACAACACTCTACCTCCACCATAGGACAAAAAGGTACTTACGCGGTAACGCTGAATTTCAGCGATGTGAAGACGATCGTCAGCTTGACAGCGTTCCCCACCAACTCCGACCATCCCCGTTCGTCGAGCAACACCATCCCTTCGTCCTCTTCCCCATGTGTCCGATAAAATCGAGCGTAAATCGAAACCTCCGGTTTATACCTAAACTCGGATATCCACCAATCCTCCTTGGTGGCGAAGCGCTGGATGAAGAGATCGACTGCTTTCTGTGCTCAGTATTAGCCTGGCTCTCTTGGAGAAAGTAAAGTGACTGGATTACATACCCTGTAGCTCATGGCTTGTAATGCATGCCTCCCGAATGCACGTCTTTCGTCTCTGCAGGTCACTATGACCTGTGGCGGCAGTTGCTGTGATGCCGCGACGAAATTGTGTAGCACCGTTATTGCGGATATGACATCTGCTGGCAACGTTGGAGCCTGTGACTCGGACTGTCGAGTCGATGCCATTCGACTCATGATCGGGCTTTCTCAATGGGACGGTGAGGATGAGTCGTTCTGTCGATGAGAACAGGCATGAGATCTACACGCGGCTAATAGCGGCATGAAAGGCGCGTGTAGGTAAATAATAGGGGCGTACACCCTTGCACGTTATAAGATTTTGAAGGTGGCTATGCTACGTGGGCTTGATGGCGTAGTTGGTTATCGCATCTGTCTAACACACGATAAATGTGACTCACACAGAAGGTCCCCAGTTCGAGCCTGGGTCAAGTCAAGCTTTTGCTTTTGAACTCATTCGCATTCTGCGCTTTTGCAGTGAATCGCCTCCTCAACGAGAAGGGTGTCGGTGACATACGGGAACTCGATCAACGGCTGCACTTTATGTGCGTCTTGCGACGTATCTTGGCCCGTGACGAAGCTGTTATAAAACCAGTTGTAGGTGACATGGGCGGCAATCAATCTCCTCGCTGCTCTCCGCAACCGCGCCCAAGAGCTGCTGCGTGGAGAAGAGGGGGTACAACAAGGTGAAGTTCTCAAATGTATTCAAATTTTCATCGAACTGCTGATGGAGAGTACGACATGGCATGGGACATGGATTTTGGTGATTTTGGGTAGGTCACTGCCGGTGTGTTTTTCATTTCTTGTTTTCTAACGGGTTATTGTAGAGCCTACGATTACGGGACTGGCAGGAGATACTTACCAGTGGAACGCGCGTCTGTTGAATGGATTCTAGATTTACGAATTTAGCTGATCTTGCACCACATGGCCATATTTCTTCGACGGAGCCGACCACAAAGCTATGAGAACCGCGTCTAGTCTCCCCTAGTCAGACGCTCGTGTGAGTCTTTGCCTACGGCAACAGCACCGTTGTTTTGAAGGCGGCGCTTCTCCTGTCCATCCATCTGCAGTCAAATCGCATGCTTTTCACAGAACCACTACCCTATAGCTACGGCCTCCTTTCGACCCACCCAGCCACCCACAACCCATCACTGCGCGGACAGAGCCCGGTACTCACCGCATGCTCGCTTCCGCGTTCCAGCACCGGAAGAATGCGTTTTTTGGAGTCGTTCTTGTTGCCGTATGATCTCAGAAGGCTGCTCGACATGTAATGTATCATTGTTACCCTCAGGTGATCGTATATCAAAAAAAAAATTAGCCGTATAACTGGGTATATTTTCCATGGAGACACGTCCATGGTTGTCACCGCCTGCATCGCATCCTGTCATTGCGGAGTGGGGTGGCCTGGTCAAAGTGACTGAGATCAAATGATTGGTCCACCCCACGTCGTTCTGGCCAATGCTTGACAGGTCACCGTGGAGGAAGGATCAGAATGATGCGGAATGTCATGACGTTGAGTGGTCTGGTTACCTCATGTATGCTCACTTAGACGTCTACTGATACTTTTGTTGCAGCATGAGCTTGAGCCTGTCGAGGACTGGAGGCTTATGACATATAGTAGCAAGCCGTGCCTGGAACCAGCTTTACTGGGATTGATAGGTGTACCCGTTCGCTGAACAGCCATAATTGCGTTACTGGGTTGCGACACGGGACACTCGATAGGGGGTATGCCAGACTGTCAGGATATAATTAACCTGCATACATCGCAGGGCGGCTCCAACCAATGGACATACACTGTTTATGTGCTGTGACATCCATACTCAGGTTTGGAGCTCATGGGAAGTGTCGTTCCCGGACTGTGGGGCGGCCTGCAGCCTTTGGAGTAGCTTGACACTTGAAACTGCAAATATTTACGTACCCGTCAGTATCATTCTCTCTGCATCATCTCATTGTACAGAAATGTATTTTTAATAGCAGGTCGGTCTCTAGCCATACGAGGCACTGGAAAGCGTGCACTACACTTTCCTGCTGTGCCGAGGCGAGGCGGTGGTCCCTCCGCAAGTATAAAAGCGTCAATCTGAGGCCCAGGAATTAAACACAATCCCAAAGACACTACCAGTCATCTACATCGAATATGAAGTTCATTCTCTCTCCAACCGCTACAGCAGTTGTTGGAACACTGCTCACGACGCGCGCATCTGCAGCTACTTGCACATTCGAGTTCTGGTCCGGCTACATTATCTATTCTGCGATTACCAGCGACCAGGCATACTATGCTAGCAGCACTAAGATCCTCAATAGTGCTGGCGCCGAGATCGGTTCGATGGAAAACATCAACCTGAACGCATGGAACTCAATCGACTCGCAGCTTCCGTACACGGTCGATTTCGACCCCCAGAAGTGTGGTCCTGGTCTCAGTAAGCGGCAAAGGAACCATTTGATTCGTTCTCGCAGACTGATGTTGGGCTGGACAGATAACTGGAACCACTATACCTGCACCACAATCCCGTTCAAGTATGCGGGGGTATCATTCGATATGACGAATGGTCCTGGGTGTACATACACCCAGAATTCCAGCGGGTTTGATGGGGAATCGACTACGTCGGGCGCCACCTACTCCTGCCCGTTTGCTTGTTGAGAGGAATGTGTCTACGGTGGCCAGTCCCACTGTGGGAGGAGTCCCGCACTGGCAGGGGCGAGAGGCAGAGAGAAGTGGCAGGGGTACTAGAATCATTCTGTTGCAACATCAGTAGCTCGCGTCATAAAGTCCTATTCGTCTATGTACCTATTCCAGTTTAACTATATCGTGCTGGTGCTACTAGTACATGATCATGATGTACCTCAAAGACCTTTCATTCTCGCATCATGACAGAATATTGGACAGATTAACACTGTGAGCAGAGTAGAGCGCTCGGAGGCCGTCATTCAGAAAAATGAAGTGGAAGAGGGCCCTCTGCGCACGAGCACCGTTCGCCATCGCCATGGAAATATATTTCATGTATAGCAAGCCGCTGAACATCAAGAATTACTGTAAACATCGCGAAGTCGGACCACAACTTATGTCAGTGCCATACCGGCGTCAGGGGGTCGCATCGGGATTCTCTTTTGGCTAGGACTACCACCGTGATCGATTGGTCTCCGACGAACGCGCTGGCGCGCTACCCTTCTGCTCTCCAGAAGGTTTCAACCACGCAGACACGTTTTCCGTGGCGTCACCAGGCCAAGCACATCAAAAAATGCCCGCAGAGAAGGCCCAGTTGCAGGCGAGTCGGTGCAGTAAGGAAAATGGTAATGGAGTAAGCAGTTGCTCTTTGAGAGAAATTTGGCCAGTTCTGGGTTGAATACTATTTCGAGGAAATCTTAGCAGTTAGGGTGTTCCGTCTTTCGTAACGGCAATGTGGTTGACCCTCAGGCTGTCACGATGCTCCGTCGGCGGTCCTTCTTCCTTACCTGTCACCGTGTTCCATACGCGCACTAGTGGCTCAAACACGAAGCTAACTCGACGTGGCGCACGTTCTTGCGGACCATAATACGGAAATGTTGGGTTACATGATTTCGAGGGTCGTGTAGTTTCAGATGAGTAGATAGCTTTGGCATGGTTTGTGTGAAAGCGCTGTCGACGAAGACGCGATGACGCGACACGAGTTAAACAGCTATAGAGTAGCACTGGCATGTAGCACTGGCAGTCAACTCCGAGGCGACACTTACACCAGCTCTGCTATCTTCTATTCGCCTCCTCATGTCGTTTGTTTTCTGGCTTCCATTCACGACGTCCGTTTTCTTCGTTTTCGGGGACGACCTGAAGTACTTCAGAATGATAACAGGGAAATACAACTCTGGCCCGAATAACCTTGACTTACCTCGTTTCGTCCGGGAGCCACGCAAAGGGTCAGTAAAAGGGGTATAAATACCCCCTCTCTGGACTACTGCTCCCCATCCAGCGAGCAAACCAAGCGACACGATCTAAACAGTTGCGGAATAGCACTAGCATGTGACGCTGGCGGTCAACTAGTACGAGGCGCCACTTACACCAGCTCTGCTGTCTTCCATTCGCCTCTTCGGGTCGTTTGTTTTCTGGCTTCCATTCACGACGTCCGTTTTCTTCGTTTCCGGGGACGACCCGAAGTACTTGGGTCTGACCCGAATAACCTTGACTTACCTCGTTTCGTCCGGGGGCCACGCAAAGGGTCAGTAAAAGGGGTATAAATACCCCCTCTCTGGACTACTGCTCCCCATCCAACGAGCAAACCAAGTCAAGCTTCTCAATCTCAATCTTACCTATAAACACGATGCGCTTCTCCATCGTCGCCTTCATCTGTGCCTTGGCTGCATACACCAGCGCGAGCGCCTTGCCCGCCGATGCTGTCGCAGCGGCTGGGACCATCACCGAACGTGACGAGCAGGGCTGCTGTAAAGCTGTAAGTCTCTTTTGTCCCTCTGGATTGGATGTGCAACTCACCTAACCGACACGACAGGGTGGCGTCAAGATCTGCGGAGGTATCTGCGGGTGATATCAATGTGGGTGATATCAATGGTGTTACTTGGATGGCGCCAGAGGTGGTGCGATGATTACTCACTGTCACGTCTTGGTTTCGATGTAGATTGCTGAATTTCGATGAGAGGAGCCTCTGGGAAGATGGTGCACCGGTTGGGGGAGGATGAGAGTCTGAAGCAGAAAGAAAGTAGGATGTGTTACATACAGACAGACGAGCAGGAGGGTTTCCACTGAATAAAGATAACCGTGAAATTGGAACGTGAGGATGGCGTCAATATCCGGGACCGGCGATAGATCTCATACAGTTAACGAAGAGGCCGTCAGCCTATGCATGAGAGGTCCCTTATGGAATCCGGATGCGGAAAAGATGTCGTGAGCATTATTTTCGTCTTAGAAAACTTGAATGTGCATGTCCAGCGAACAGAGCAGCTGGACGATAAAAGGGACAAACACGGCAGAAACGAATACTTTCGCGTCTCAGGCTATGTCGCAGTCGGGACCATCTAAAGTTGAGAGGTCCAGCGCAAGGAGAGCAGAGAAGCCGAGTTTGGCTTGAGAGAATAGGTCGAGTTTTTCGACGTCCATTCAGTCGGATCAGGGGGGTCGCACACCGACCAACATCTCACAAGATGCGATTGGGGGAGTGCGAAACGAGAACGGGATCGCAGACGGGTCCATTGGCTGGTGAGGGGTGATGTTGAGATGTGCATAGGTGGGCTGTGAAGAGATGGGGTATATGATCGGGTCAAGCTTTCAAGTTGTCGTCCGGCAGGCGCGATAGTACAATCACAAGCAAGGAGTGACCTTGGCTTGGCATGTTTCTATGTATTTGTAATCGTGGCCTGGAAAAATCTATGCTTCACCGTTTTCCTGATGGCACGGATTCTGCATAGTAGCTAGGTATATGTAACCGTCTCATGGTTGAAGCTTAAGATCGTGCT